ATAAATCAGCATTGTGACAAGTAACTATTAATCAGAAACAATAAATGCTTAAGAAGAATACAATTAGGCAAACCCTGGTCAGATCTGTCATTCTCTCAAACCTTCAGGCCCCACGTTCTGCACCACAAAGAACTGTCGTGGTTTAAGCCCAACTGGTAACTGAGAATCATGCAGCTGCTTGCTCGCTCCCCTCTTCTTCCTCCCCTGCTCCCGGAGGGATGGGGAGGAGAATCGAAAGAATGTAACTCCCACAGGTTGAGACAAGAACAGTTCAGTAACTAAGGTATAACACAAATCACTGCTGCTACCACCAATAATAATAATGATACGGAAAATAACAAGAGAACAGAATACAACCACTCATCACCCGCCAACTGATACCCAGCTCAACCTGAGGAGTGACCTAACCCTTCAAGCGCCCAGTTTGTATACTGTGCATGACGTGCTGTAGTATGGAATACCCCTTTGGCTAGTTTGGGTCAGATGTCCTGTCTCTGCTTCCTCCCGGCTTCCTCTCCTCCCTGGCAGAGAATGAGACTCAGAAAGTCCTTGGCCGGCGTAAATGTTACTTAGCAACAACTAAAAAAATCAATGTTATCAGCGCTGTTCCCAGGCTGAAAGTCAAAAACACAGCACTGCACCAGCTACTAAGAAGGAGAAAAACGACTGCTACTGCTGAACACAGGACAGGTGTAAATCCTTGTGGCTTAAAGTTGAATGTGATATTGTGATCCTTTGGGTTTGCAGATATGGGAAGGGCCAGTGGAACTAATATCCTGGGGGAGGGGTATGTTTGCGTCCTCCTACCCACAGGTCCATGGTGGCTGCCTGCAAAGTTTGTCAAGCCATATCATGAGCTGGACAGACAAGTTGAAGAACCCGATGCCTCAGCTGCAGGAGCTGACCTTGAAGACCCTGAGTGGAATGAGACAGAGAAAGAGAAAGATGAGTGATTTGCAAAACATCACTTGGGGGCAACTGAAAAGTAATGACTTGAATATGTGTGCTTGCAAAGTAGCTGTTATTAGAGGCTGTGATTTTGTGTATAAAACACCAGTATTTAATACCCAGTCGCCGATAAGAACTACACCTTGTATTGTATGGATTTGTGACTTGTAAAGGAGATGTTAGAGCATGCAAATTTACAGCAGCTGCTAGAAAATGCTAAAAAGCTAGAAAGATTCTAATCTGATGGTAGTGTTATAAAGCAGGTAATGGAACAAATTAAGAGGGTGGGAGAACCCCACTGGAGGGGAATTTTCTTTGGCTGGTCCCCCACTGCCACCAGCATCTTCAAATTGTTACTGCACCCTGTAGTAGTTATACTGCTAATGTAAATCTGTGTATGTTTTCCATAGTACCAACTTGTTGCTGGATCAGGTAGGTGAAATTCTGCATTGAAAACAAGGTGCAAGGACTTAGGTTGGCCAAATGCCTCCTACCATAGTCAAAACCAAGACTGGGTTGGCCTCCACGTTTGCCACCAAGAAGAACCTTTAACTGTGCTGTTGGCTGCAACCCAGTAGGCGTTGTGTGGTGGGGACACATGCCATGCCAGACCTTGATGTGAGGGATGGCCTCCTTCAGTATAAGAAGGCTATCCAGGAGGGAAGGACAGGCCAAGCAGCCTGTGGTTGGCAGGAGAAATGATCTAGTCCAAATCACCTGCTCAAGCACGGCTATCTAAAGCAGGTTTCACCATTAGCATAAGTAACTATTATAAGTAACAATAAGAATAAAATACATTATAAAAGTAAATCTCCTGTCAGGTTAACTTCCTTGACCTTTTGGAGACTAAACAAGCAATTTGCCATGTCTTGCAAATGACTAAAGAACTTCAGAGATTTCATCTTTTTTCAACTGAGTTATGTCTTGAGTCCTGTAAGTTCATACATTAATATTTAACCAAGCTTTTTGAGCTAGCTGGTCAAATGTCATTTCTGTGATCTAAAAACTAATGATGTGGTGTGCATCTTATCTCTTATACTAGCTGTAGCATGTTACAAATACGGGTGTTGTTACAATCAGTTCTTGCATGCTGAACTTAACACTGAACCTTAATTCCTGCTGATCACAGCAGATCCTTTGTCAAATTGCTGCCAGAAGTAAGGCAGAGGTTGATACTGTGATTTTTGATAAGGCACAAAAAAGTTCTCTTTGAAAGTAGTCTGAGTTTAGTATCTGAGAGGTTGTTATTTGCAGCAGAACAGGCAAGATGATTTCCACAGGTTACTCTGCCAATCTGCTTTGCTGTTTTTGCCTTGAGTAGCGCTAGTTTTCTTCATAGCAGCTGGTATGAGTCTATGTATTGGATTGTGCTGGAGCTGTTTTGAGGATAAGAAGGTGTCTTTTTTCACAGAGACCCAATCCGGAATAGAGCAGAAGCAGGTGAACTAAACAGCAAGTGAAGGTCACAGCTTTAGTGCTACATAAAAACACAGGATGGGACCCCAGGAGCTGGGCCAAAGAAGCCTCTAGGCAGGCCCAGTAAAACAGCAGCCTCCAAAAGACATTCAGAGGAAAGCCTGGATTTTGAAAGATCAGGCATCTCACCCTGTCAATCTGAGCTCAAACTAGCAGGCGGACCCAGAGAATGATGCCATTTCATAACAAGAACAGAGGCGCCAGGATCTGCTTTTATACCTCGATGAGAAGCAAGCAAAGTCTTTCAAGTGCTTCTTGTGAATGTGAACTATCTCAGGATGGGACTTTCATACTCCTATGAGCTTTTGTACTCAAATGATCCTTTCATTCTCAAATAGCCTTTCATACTCAAATAATTCCTATGTTTCTGCAATCAAAGGTGACTCCAGACCTTTGCAATTAAATCTCTATCCAGTGAAACTCACAGACCTCTCTAGGGAGTTCTGCCTTTATCCCAACACATATTTCAAACCCTTCAGGGATTACGCGAGTAATTAGATGAGCAGTAAAAAAGCTGTGTCCGGATGTGGGAGTGATGCTGCGAACAACATCCTGCTTTTCCAATGCATTAGGCTTCGTGGAAAGCTTTTTTTTTTTTTCCCCCCTTGATGACAATAAAAATGACTGTTCTCAGTGATATGATCATTCCTTCAGACACAGCCTAGAAGGCTCATCTCGATTTCACTCATCTGCCCACTTCTGGTTTTCAGTTACCTTGCGTGCAGTACTCAGAGCAGTGCCCATTGTGCCAGAAATTGTGGAATTTGTTGCTGATAAAGAGCATCATCAGGACCAGGAGAGATGCACAGTGAATTACTGTGTCATCTGCCTCAAAACAGATCCCTAGCAATTAGACACATACCTGACAATACTAGACAAGTCACCTGAGGCTCCCTTTCTAGTCAGGGGACAACAAATAAACTTTTTCAGTGACTGACTCATTTCACATTAACACAGGAGCATAAGAACAGTCAGATGACCCATCCTCTGGAAGTAGCACTGTTTCCGTTCTAACAGGGGACGCTAGCTGCTTTGTACACCTAGCTTTTTAATATCTAAATGTAGGTGGGAAATATTTCTTTCCTTGCTGCTGTAGGATCGGTTAGTCCTCAGCTAATTGGGCTAAAGATAAAATCTGTCCATCCTTTAAGTCCCATTTTGACAGCTCAGTAGTAAACAAAGTCTGGTGTTCACAGTATATCTGGCTATTTTTGTACACATGGAAGTGCACACATGAGCACTCACCAACTGATTGAAACAATGTGGATGCAAGTTCTAAGTCAATGAGATGATGCAGGAAAGAAAATGTCTTTTATTATCTGGGAGAGAAAAAAGTTATAGATGGATAGATAGATATATTGATATATGATAGATAGGAATATATTCCTTTATATATATATATACACACACATATATATGTATCTTTTTATAAGTTTAAGAATTCCTTCTAATATCATAAAACCAAAGGGGTGAGTATAATTTTGTTTATGTATCATAAAAGATGTAGTGGCATGGGATGAGTGCTAGCAGGTGGCAGAGCCTGTTTTGCTGGTTCAGAAGAATTGAAATGGTCCCTGATGTTGTCATTTGCATGAGGATCTGTCTCATCTGACTTAATTGTCTGAAAGTCTGGATGAGCTCCCTCTCCAGTGTGTGGAGAAAAATAGGCCGTGATGTACAGACAACATTTGGTAATTGAGTCCTGGGATCAGATCTTTGGTCTCAAGTGACTCAATCTGCTCTACTTCTCTACCAGAAAACATACATAGTTCTCACCCTGCTTGAAGGGGGTTGGATTCCTGTTGGAGAAGAAGTGGGAATCATAATATTTATGTAAGAATTTACATTCTATTACATAATATTAATTAAATAAATCTTTATTTTAAGCTTTGTTCAGAGTGCCTTTATATTTCACGGACCTTCACAACTTCTAAGGATCATTACAACTTCTATGGATCTTCAACTGGTTTCTCGTATCATCAGAAAGGAGACTGCAGGTTGATGCAGGGATATATGGTTTGGGGAGAATCTGTGACCCTTCAAATGCTGTAGACAGTATGGTTTGTCTGGTTGAAATATCAGATTAGGTCAGGATGAGTGTACTCCTCAAAATCTGCATGTGTGACTTGGCTACAATTGCAGAATTTCATTCTAGAAATAGAGGGGGAATGCCTCAGAAAAACTTGGGGGTGACTCGTTTTTTCAGTCACAGCACCTCCCTCCACTGTGCTCAGATACTAGAGGGGCTGACAGATGTCAGTCTAGGCATGAGGGCAAACAGAATTTAAGCACATGCATAGCAGCTGGGCATTTGGAATTTGTTGGACAGAATTAGAACATGACTTCTTTAGTCCTGCATGAATGATTACCCAAAGGTGAAGAGGTAAACAAAATTATATAAACAAGGAGTTCATTGTAGTTTGTTCATTCTTATCTTGAGCTGATTAATAAGTAATCTCATATCTCAGAGGGAATAGGAAGGAACTATTGGTTAATTTCATCCATGTGCTTTCAATTCACAGCATATAAATGGGGATGGATTTACAGGTCCAACATCAGGCTTTTCTGACACTTCTCTTCCTCAGCCCACCATGGAGCTCCTGGGAATGACCACTATTTTCTTGCTGATTTGCCTCTCGTATCTTCTTCTCGTCACCACATGGAGAAACATCTCACAAAATGGGAAGCAGCCTCCTGGTCCTTTTGCACTCCCCCTTGCTGGAAACATATTCCAGCTGAACCCAAAGAACTTGCCTGAGAGCTTGAGAAAGGTAAGGGACTATTTCCTTCGTTCCTATGTTGTCTCCATTGCATATAAAACAAAGTCAGGTCTCGACTGTGTCAATTTAATTCACAAGCTTAATTTGCATTGACCAAATGTCCGACTCAAAGAGAAACAAAAGGTTTCCCAGAAATGTATGCTTCTGAAGTTTATATATTCCAGTAATATAATATTTAAGTTTATGTAGTGCAAGTCTAAGGCTATATATTTGCAATAATCATAGTAATGATGAGTCCTGTGCTGACTTCATGGCAGTACTGCAATTTGCAGTAGATTTGCAGTCAAGCTGTTCATGCTCTTGCTCTTGCTATATTCACAATGTTCCTCCTGGCCCCAAATCCTCTTAATCAGTACAAGGCTGTAGTGATTCTCCACTTATTTACTCATCCACTTTCCAGAGGTCTGGGGCCCGGGAGATTTTAGGGGCAACTGTGGTATGCTGTTCTTTGTGTTGCTCTTTCCTACAGCTTAGTGAGAAGTATGGTCCTATCTTCACAATATATTTAGGCCCACAAAAGATTGTGGTGCTGTATGGCTATGATGTTGTGAAAGAAGCTCTGATTGATCAGGCAGATGACTTCAGCGGAAGAGGCAACTTACCATTACTTAGAAGACTTCTCAAAGGCACAGGTATGTCCCCAGTCACATTAGCACACAAAGCTAAGACTTTCAGAGCTTCAGCAACACTGAGGAGGAACAGCAGAGAGGGAAGTGGAGGAGGGAACGGTGGATTTCATTTACTACTTTTAGCAATAAAAGACTAAAAGCCCAACTCATGACTTGGACCCTTGAGTAAAGTGGTCCCCTGGAGAACTCTCTGAGGTCCTAGGCTGGTTTCACTGAGTGCCTTTCCATTTTCAGCATGCTTCCAATTCTGGCTAAAATTTTGCTCATCAAATGTGCCCCTAAGGACTTAGGTTCATTCTCCTGTTTCTGAAAATCATAGAATCATAGAATAGTTAGGGTTGAAAAGGACCTTAAGATCATCTAGTTCCAACTCCCCTGCCATGGGCAGGGACACCTCACACTAAACTGTGTCACCCAAGGCTCCGTCCAACCTAGCCTTCAACATTGCCAGGGATGGAGAATTCACAACTTCCCTGGGCAACCCATTCCAGTGCCTCACCACCCTAACAGAATTTCTTCCTTAGATCCAATCTAAACTTCCCCTGTTTAAGTTTTAACCCATTACCTCTTGTCCTGTCATTACAGTCTCTAATGAGTAGTCCATCCCCAGCATCCCTATATGCCCCCTTCAGATACTGGAAGGCTTCTATGAGGTCTCCATGTAGCCTTCTCTTCTCCAGGCTGAACATCCCCAACTTTCTCAGCCTGTCTTCACACGAGAGGTGCTCCAGTCCCCTGATCATCCTTGTGGCCCTCCTCTGGACTTATTCCAACAGATCCATGTCCTTTTTTGTGTTGAGGACACCAGAACTGCAAACAATATTCCAAGTGAGGTCTCACGAGAGCAGAGTAGAGGGGCAGGATCACCTCCTTCGACCTGCTGGTCATGCTCCTTTTGATGCAGCCCAGGATACAGCTGGCTTTCTGTACTGCGAGCGCACACAGAAGCCAGCTCATGTTCATTTTCTCATTGACCAGCACCCCAAGTCCTTCTCTGCAGGGGTGCTCTGAATCAGTTCTCTGCCTAACCTGTAGCTGTGGCTGGGATGCTCCGACCCAGGTGTAGGACCTTGCACTTGTCATGGTTAAACTTCATAAGGTTGGCATCAGCCCACCTCACAAGTGTGTCAATTTCCCTCTGGATGGCATTACTTCCCTACAGTGTATGAAAAGAACCACAAAGCTTGGTGTCATTGGCAAACTTGGGAAGTCCACAGGCAACAAAGATGAGAGAATATAGGCTGTGCCAATCATGAACACATTCAAGATTAGGCCATGTATTTATTCACTAGGACAGTTCTGAGTAAGTTTTGTGCTGATTTTCAGTGCTTGTGGCCAAGAAATATTCAGTACCAGTGATACTTTCTTATTTCCATCCTAACATACCTGTTTCCTCATGGAGGTCTATTTTTCCTTCATCAGGTATTGTGACCAGCAATGGGGAGACCTGGAAGCAGCTCCGGCGATTTGCACTCAGCACTCTGAGGGATTTTGGGATGGGGAAGAGGAGTATTGAGGAGCAAATCCAGGAAGAAGCTCATTTTCTGGTGGAGAGGATCAGGAACACACATGGTAGGACTGGGCTTTGTGCTTACTGGGACACTGTGTATATCTGCAGTGAGACAAGGATGGTGTAGTGCTGCTTCACCAAATCTATGACACAACAAGTGGGCATATGGCTGCAGTTTCTGCTCTCTGCTCCAACAGCCAGTGTTGCCACTGCTGGGAGTTTGTCAGTCAAAGACCCTGTGAGAGTATGGAGGGATAAATATGGGAGACTGGTGTTAGAAAGCATCCTTCAACCTGTTCTGTTTGAGGAGCAAGACTGGAAGTGGCAAAGGGAATGGCTTGGCCCCAAAGCCAAGAGGTTGGTGGAATTCAGCCATGCAGACAAGGCTGGAGACTGCCACATAGCCAAGCATCATGCACTACTATGTGGATCTTGAGGAAAAGGGTGATCAGAGACCTCATTTACAGATATTTAGGTCTCGGTCCACTCTATCTGGATAGCTGTGCAATCAATCACAGGCATTCAAATCCCTAGGAGAGGGCTATACAATAGGTGTTACACTGATAGACTTCATAAACAGGGTGCAATTACCTAAAGACATAGCTAAGGCAAAGTCCTTCTGGTTTCATTAGGTTTTGGTGGGAATCTTTAGGCCATTTCTAATAAATTGTACGTTCAGATGGCACAAGACAGACTTGTGTCATCTGAAAAGGTACCAAGCCCCCCAGACCAATGTTCTGCTGACACAGGACAAAGGAGATACTTAAATGACTCATAGAGGGAAATTTGTTCACTTTAAATAGAGAAAAAAATATTGAATAAGCCCTTCACCATCCATTCAAAGGACTGCAGAACTCTGGGCCTCAAGAGGATGCAAAGCTCTCTGTAGTGTCAGAGGAGGGGAAGATGCCTGAAATACTGAAAACAAGACAAAGATAATTGGGGCTGGAGCATCTCCTGTATGAAGATAGGCTGAGAAAGTTGGGGCTGTTCAGCCTGGAGAAGAGAAGGCTGCATGGAGACCTCATAGCAGCCTTCCAGTATCTGAAGGGGGCCTATAGGGATGCTGTGGAGGGACTCTTCATTAGGGACTGTAGTGGTAGGACTAGAGGTAACAAGTTAAAACTTAAACAGGGGAAGTCTAGATTGGATATAAGGAAGAAGTTCTTTCCTGTAAGGGTGGTGAAGCACTGGAATGGGCTGCCCAGGGAAGTTTTGAATGTTCCATCCCTGGTGGTGCTCAAGGCCAGGCTGGACAGAGACTTGGGAGACATGGTTTAGTGGGTGCCCCTGCCCACAGCAGGGGAGTTGGAACATGACAATCTTAAGGTCCTTTCCAACCTTAACTATTCTATGATTCTATGATTCTGTACCTCTTTTTTTTTTGTTGTTGCAGAGAAACCCTTCAACCCTGGTGGATTCCTGATCCATGCTGTCTCCAACATCATCTGCTCCATTGTATTTGGGGATAGGTTTGACTATGAGGACAAGAAATTTTTAAATTTAATTTATTTGCTAGAAGAAAACACTAAGTACCAGAATGCTATACAAACACAGGTGTGTACAGTTATATTGAATACATTTGTTAATGCTGATAATATTTTATTAATGGATAATTACTCATGTTATTATTTTTAACTGGAGTAGATTTTCCTAAATTTGGATAAATTTTCTGAAAGCCAAAAAGGCAGATAAATAACCAATTCCTGTTGTTTCTTCTTACCTTATCAAATTGCCATTTTACGTCCAAAGAAGGGTATAATTGCAAAAGTTGGTCAACTGAAATCTATCCTTGACTATAGTGAAACCGTAGAGTTAAAGGCATTAAAATCCAGTTGAATAATAACTCTTTCAAAAGAGTTGAATTGCCTCATTTTCATAGTTAACAGTTAGGGAACATTTTATTCTATGAACATTAAGTGGAGTTTGCTTTTCCATCATCTTATTTTTACAGCTATACAATTTCTTCCCAACTCTCATGGAGTTTTTACCAGGACCTCATCAAAAAATGCTGAAAAATATTGATGAAGTTGATAAATTTATTTTAGAAATCATAGCACAACATCAGGAAACCTGGGATCCTAGCTGTCCTCGAGATTTCATCGATGCTTTTCTTAACAAAATGGACGAGGTAATGTAACAGCTAGAGATTTACGGGCTTATAAGAAAACCACCGCTTGAGTCCCACCTTCTTGCCAGTTGTGGCAGAGCACTTAGCTTTTGCAAATATAAGGGGAAACTGTCCTCTCCCCTCTCTTATCAAGAACTTTCAAATACAGAATTAACAACTAGCCGTCCAAAGCTGATGGATTTCCATGCTCCTCCCATATTAAAAACAGTTCATACTTTTATTTATTAAAAATACCATCAATGCTGGTGTTCTGGAAAGTGACAGTCATATTTGTGAAAGGGCATGTGTTTGAAAACATACATTATGGGTAGAGAACTTTCCTTTTTAAACAAACTGCTTAGATTTGTCATTCTGATAACATCCTGCCAAATCTTCCTCCAGGAGAAAGGGAATGGTCACTCAGTATTCACCGTTGAGTCCATGACCAGATCCACACTCGACTTGTTCCTTGCAGGAACAGGGACCACCAGCACCACCCTGAGACATGCACTTCTGATTCTTCAGAAATACCCAGAGATACAAGGTAATAGAAAAGGAAATATATAAAAACTTTAGCAGGTAATGGGATCACTTTGGACAATTCCTGTCACTCCCACGTGTGGTAGCAAATCCCTGGCTAAGGAACCCTTCACTTGCAGTGTAGACATGTGTATTAGTCTAAGTTCTAGTCACAGAAAAGAGATACCACCACTAAGTACATTCCTATATTGATGGTGCGCTAAAAGCAAGTTTTGCTGTAAATATGGGGAGAGGTTTAGGCAAACGGGTGTGGGACTTGACCATTCAACGCTTACTTATTTCCTAACAGAGAAAGTTCAGAAGGAGATTGATCATGTGATTGGCCGAGACCGAAGATCCTGCATGGCAGATCGGAGCCAGATGCCCTACACAGATGCTGTGATCCATGAAATCCAGAGATTCATTGATTTCCTTCCACTTAATGTCCCACATGCTGTGATCAAAGACACCAAGTTCAGAAACTATTTTATTCCAAAGGTCTGAAAGAGCTCATAATCTTTTGAAAACAATGTCATGTTCTATTCACTGTATTTTATTTTATTTTCAAAGACACTGAAATTTGATTCAGAATTCGAATAATTGCAACAAAATCCTGGGTATTGTTGAGTCCAATGACTTGTACCTGAAGAAATTGGAAAAAAATAAAAGGAACATTTTATCCTGTGTGTGAAGAGGGAGATGGCTTTCTATTTGATACTGGTTTTTTTTCATGTAGTTATGACCAAAATTCTAATTTATTTGGAAGAAATATTAAATAATCAGACTCACCATTAAAATTCACAAAAAAAAGCACACCTTTGCCATACTAATGGCATGCATTTTGAGTCACTAAATGCTTATTTTACAGTGGTTAATCTTTGACTACCCTTCTATTCAGCTCTGGGATATTCTCAGTGCTGCTTTGCTTTAAAATATATCAAGTTTAACATTTTTCCCTCTCCTTGTTAATTCAGGACACAATGATATTTCCTCTGCTGACTCCTGTCCTACACGATAGCAAAGAATTTCCAAATCCAGAAAAATTTGACCCAGGACATTTCCTGAATGAAAATGGTACATTTAAAAAGAGTGACTTTTTCATGCCATTCTCTGCAGGTAAGATCTCTTTCTGTTTCATATCCTAGGTTATCCTCTCCTAAGATCTCTTCAATGGGTCTGTGACTACTGCCTGTACGGTGATGTATGGTGATCCATAAGAGTCACTTCTGGGCAGCTCTGATCCCTGCACTAGAGTTTCTGTTGACTTTCCTTTTTAGCAACCACAGAAATTCCTCCAATGCATTCTACAGTAAGAGATATACAAAGTAGGACTCATCCACACAACTCTCTCTCCAAGCAGAAAATAAGAAACCAAAGCCTTCAAACTGCATTTGCCCACTGAGCACTTTCAATGTTCTTGACACTTAGACCCTGGTTTCTTTACCCAAAATGCTGCATGTCCATTCTGAGATGTCTGAACTTTCATGGAACAATGGTTAAAAATACCCCCCTCTTCCTCACATTTTATTATTTTCAACTTGTAGGAAAACGCATCTGTGCAGGAGAAGGTCTGGCCCGGATGGAGCTGTTCATATTTCTAACATCCATCCTGCAGACCTTTACTTTGAAACCTGTTGTGGATCACAAGGACATTGACATTGCCCCATTAATTACCTCTACCGCTAGTATACCCCGACCTTATGAGGTCTCTTTTATTCCACGCTAACCAAGTGAAGACTGTTGTCACATACCACACTCGTGAAAGCTCTGGTTGAATGACAGTCATTTCGTAATCTGTCGAGACTGAAACACTCAGATCAGTGCTAGATACTTTCTAGAGAGAAATACTTTTAATCAAGAAAACTGTACGGTGCTTTTATGTGGGGAATGCTGCAGAAGAAGCTGCACCATCAGACCTGAATGACAGCACAAACATCCTGACCCTCATCAGCTGCAAACCATGGGAGTCAAGAGGAGTTGAAGTTAGAACACCGAGATAATCTCCATGAACTGTAGATACTGAAACAAAGAAGTTACTGAAGACAAAGATGTAATGTTGTACCTGGGAATTTCCTAGGAGCTAATGAAATGTCTCCAATGTGGACTGAGGGGAGAAAAGAATGCGTGTTCAAGGAAAATGGAAAGTAATAATGTAGCAGAAAGCGGTAACAGAAAAATGTGCTTATACATCTGAGAACAAATAAGTTGTTCAAGCAAAGGCACATGAACAATAATGAGATTGGTTGGGAAAATGGTATGATGTTCCAAAAAGGTACTAAAAAGAAACTAACAGATACTAACAATAACCACTAGGCAAGGGTCTATAAAAAGCCAGTAAGCTTGCTCAATAAATGATTTTGGTTACACTACAACTGGAGTTTGTGCCTCAGTTTACACAATTTGCCAAGCATACAGGTACAGATGTAGGACTGGCATTTCCCAATTAATCACGTTCCCTGTGATGTATAACTTACAGTGATCACAGTGAAGACAGAGAACAGAATCCGTGTGATGTAATATGAGACAGCATCTATAATACTGGCAATGAACTGTTTATGGCATGGACTGTTCACGTGAAACAGGCACTTTTTCTTTCCTTTCGAAGTATTAACATGCTAGATATACCATGAGTTGGTAGAATGGCATTGCAAAGGCAAAAGCCACAGATGTCATAAAATCAAGGAAATAGAAATGAACGAGCAATATAGGAAAACATCATCTGGTTTTTTCACCATATGCCAAAGAAGATCAGCTATTACAAGTCTTCTCACTAGAGAGAAAGAAGAAGGCACTCCATGCTACATATATATAATATAATATATAGAGACTTGCTCATACCCACTCTGGAAACTAGAGGCAAAACTCAGACAAGGGTGTCCATTCTGTGATCTGACCACAAGACCTAAATTTCCTTCCCTTACTGAGTTTTCTTGCAAAGTAAAAGCTGATGCTGCAGTTATCCAGACAAATGGACAAATCATTTCTAGATACCTGCTGAAGAATTAAATCCTGAATATCTGAGTATGCCTTTGCCTGACAAACACTGGGAAGGTTAATTCTCATATACAGTAACATCATGGGGACACTGAAGAAAGTGTTGCTACTTCTGTCCGATGTCCCCAGAGACTGGAGATGTACAATTTTAATTTTTATGAAGTGATTTCTAACACCATAATTGTTTTTAATTGAACAGATATGCAATAAATTGCTTTGGAAGGTCGGGGGAAAGGGATCTGAAGTGATTATTTTCAGCTGCTTCTCACAGGCCTGTGCTATCACTTGTGAGATCAGAAGCAACAGAGTGTTTGAAGTGTTTGTTCATTCAGCTTTGGTTTGGTTTGTCTTTTTAAGCAGATGTGAAAGCAGATGTGCATGTAGTTTACTTTAATGAGCTTTCTTTAGCCACAGGAGAGGCATAACAATGCAATGCAGAGGTATGTGAAGTGTATTTAAGAGACCATAAGAGGTGTTCTGACTGATGACCTGAAGTTATCATTGGGGTCAGAAGATAATCTACTATCTATACTATGTTGAGTGTCCCTGTACCATCTGTCAGTTTCAGCGTCAAGAGAAGTTTTGAGTGTTGTGGATGGTTGGCCATTGCCACCTTATCTTCAGCAACTACCAACCTTTGCCTCAAGATACAGTAAAGGGAAGGCAAAAGATCTATTTGTTGATAGTCTGTTGATACTGGAAACACAAGTGGGCAACATTCTAGGGGTGCTCTAAACTGATGCAGCTGATTTGAAATAATTGATGGCTTTATGAATTTATACACTCAGATCTGTATTTTGCTTTTGCCTTTATAGACCTTGATAATAATTTTGCTGCTTTCTGTTCATTCCTGAAAAGGCATGCTTCCTTACCCAACATCTGTTTAGGGCTAGTTATTGTGAGTAGATTCTTTTCCAAAGCACTAGAGGGCAGCAACATTATATTAAAATCTATTTTCAGACTTGGACAATACCAGCACCAGCAAGATGTGCCCTTGTTTTTCCTACTAGGCCCTCTTTTCCAACAGAGCTGGTAATCTTGATCAACCAGTTCTGACTGCTGGGACCAACACCATATCACTAATGTTTAAATTTTCTTTTTGCTTGTTTTAATGAGCCCTCATTTATCGTTGTCTGCGTGAAAGCAGACCCCAAACATGCAAACTCTGTCACTTGGGTATGGTGTGCTGGCTTATGCTCAGCACTTCTGGCTGTGCATTAGGTCACCTCTTGGTTTAAATACATGCTTAGGTAGAAGGACATGAAGAAGCTCCTTCTGTGCACAAGTTCATGTTCTATGTCCTTCTTCCCTGAAGCTCTCTCATTGTTCCTGCTGGCCACCTCCTGGCACATTGAGCTCTCCAGCAGCACTGTTAGAGAACAGTTCTTACTGATACTGAGCAAGAATGACAGAATTGGGCTGTGCCATCTATCTGATGTTCTTAGGCACAGCTGTTACCTTGATATACTCAGCACTTGTGGGTTTGCATGGTAGGTTCACTTCTACTTGAGGCATGAGAGTGACACATCCCAAGCTCTAAGCCTCTGGTGGATTTGTTAGCAGACACCAGCATTTGCCACTGCTTTCCTAGGCAGCTACTGACATAGGAGAGATCCAGCTTTGTACAGGGAAGAAGGAAAGAAAAGGAACTGGCAATGGGAAAAATGAGGGAGGATATGTTACTCTGTCTGTAAGATCCATATTGAAGACATAAGAAAGAGAAGGAGCAGACATCCTGATGGCACCTGTCAGGACCTAGCACTGTGTGGTAAGTAATGTTACTTTTATTTCTTGCGGTGGCAGTGAAACATGTACCTCTGTCCTAACCACTGAGCTCCCCAGCGATTTTCTGGAAGAGATTAATTTGTCTCTGGCTTTGCCATTATTTTCCTGCTCTTTACTGACATGAACCCTGCAGGATGAACCACCTGTTTTGGCTCAGCTCCCCAGATCCAAGATGCTAATTGTGTATTGACCTCCTTAGACTTACCTACAGCTTGATCTCTTTTGCAGGTGCTGCTCCTGAAGTGTCTTTTCTTTCCCATATATGGAAGACTTTAAGATTTCTTCATTTTGCTTTCTTGACTGAAAACAACATTCAGAAACAGAAAACCATGAGCAAAAGCAGTCAGTGCCCCTCATGTTACCTGTGTTTTCAGGTAATAATGATATCAAGTTTTGTAGCAGAAAGTAAAAAGTAGGATTTTATGTGGTAAGAGATGCTTTGGAACTCCTGGGGGTCTTCTTGATTCTCTCAGCTTATTCACCCTTACTGGTGTTTTCCCACCCAAGACTGGGCTCAGTAAGAGAGCACACAGGAAAACACCATGGTTTGGGTTTGAAGTCTTTATTCTCAGAAGCAATACATGTGTCTGCTCTCTCCTAGCATGGCTATTTTTCACATCTGGCACATCTTTCACAAATGCACACACTCATAGAAACTAATGTGACATCTAGAATGTTCTTGATCTGCCTGTGGCAGGCTGAGATCTCTGCCTGATCTTGTTACATTGATAAGTCAGAGCAGTTGCATGAGGACTGGTACTAACGGCTTCTTAGGCCAGGGTCTACATGGTGGTTAGGACCAGGCCTGTGTCTAACGTGATATTCTCCAAACCTCAGTGACAGTTGGATGTATATAGTTGCTCCCCAATTGGTGTGGAGCACAAGGATGTAATACATTGCCCACAGTCACAAAATGCACCGCAAAATGTGTCCTTCTTGGAAGCTTGGAAATCATGTTTTATGTTCCCTAGATTTTCTCAGGTTCTGTGATGGGGACTCAAAATGCTATAGAAATGATCCATGTGGTGTCGGCTCCTGAGCACAACTTTTTATTCATCTACTGGCAGAATAGGATTGTTTCATCTGCCAAAGGGTTTTTTAAGCATTTGATATCCACGAAGAACTAGGGGAAGCTGAAATTTGGTAAATACCATCAGAGAGACAGAAACCTGTCCGTAGTGTAGATAAATGAAAACTGATACGGGTCTCCAGAACCAGTCTATCTAGGCTGCAACCTGCAGCTGGTCTGCAGACTCAGAGGATTGTTCTCTGAACTGGAAATATCTCTCGAGCCCTCTAAGAAGTCACTATTCTCCAACGTGTGTGGGGTAAAGCACACACCACAGTAGGTGGGGAAAAGGATAGCTTTGGAAGTAATCATCCTCTCCAAAATCATTATCTGGGAACCTTAGAGCAAACATTAATTATTCAAGTCTCAAAGCCTTGATTGCAGCATTTACAAATGCACCCAGTCTGATTTTTAACAGGAACTAAATGCAGGAATTACTTCACTGAGTCACACCTTACCCTAAAATACCTATCTGTTTTCTTCCAACACTGGAGTGTGTCAGAACCTGAACTGCTCTGGGCTGCTTTGCCTGGCAGTGTCCCTCCTCAGATTGGCATTACATCAGTGCCTCCTTCATGAATGTCCATTGAAGGCAGCAGGTAGACTCCCCTTCCCACAAAGGTTGGATTAGATGATCTTTCAAGATCTCTTCCACTCTGGCCTGTTCTTTATTCTATGATCTTTTCATTTAATTCAAAGTATAGAATTTCACTCAGACCCTAATACCTGTTTACACATTGCCCAAATGCATCTGGAATAGGTCATGAACTGTATTCCTACGACCTCTACACCTCATCTGCCCCTGCACCAAAGAACAAGCAGCAGATAGCTGTTGACAGCTTTATTATGTCAGCTAATGAGAAGGTTGTGGAAGTTCGGAAGAAGGATGATTACTGCTGTTACCACTGTTGCAAGGATTTCCTTGATGGAGAT